ATAATAACTATTCTACATAAATTGATATTCAAGTTAATTGTTACTTTTCCCTTGCTGTGTATACCCACATAATTTTAAAACAATGTGTAAGTATCTACACATATACAAAAACCATCGATAATGGTCAACATCGATGTTTTGAGTAGCCTAAACATCGAACATCGATGTTGAGCTAGCGATGCCAACATCGATGTTATTATCCCTATCTTAAAACTGAAGCCTGAGCCGTGGTAGCTCAGATGGTTAGCGCTCGCTGTAAGCTTCACAGTACTCGAGCAACCCGGGTTCGATCCCCGCCGGCACCAATGAAATTGTTAATTGCAATTTTAAGTGCTGATTTACCACGTGCTCGGCGGTGAAGGAAAACATCGTGAGGAAACCTGCATGTTTGAGAAATAAAAAAAAATATTTCGATGACATGTGAAGTTCGCCAACACGTATTGGGGCAGCGCGGTGGACATTTCCTTGCCCTAAAACCCTCTCATATATCTCAATGCAGAAATGAGAGGAGGCCTGTGCCTAGCAGTGGGACGTAAATAGGCTGCAACTTTACTTAAAACTGAAAAAAAAGTTATTTGGTATTAGAGGGATTCTGGGTATAAAACAATATCACTATCACGACATTAATTGCAATTTTGCTACTTTTAGTCTTGTTTTGTTGAATAATTAAATATTTCAATACCTCTGTATATATACCTTACAGGCTTGTAGCTTCGTCAGGCTCATGGACGTAAATTATTACGGTGAGTCTCAATACGATTCACCTGCGAAAAATCTTAACACCGCAATTCAGAAAAGGTTGTAATTTGTACAACGCCATCTATTACGTTCTTTGTGAGAAAACATCCTTTTTTAATTTAAGGAAAACATATTTTTACTGTGTTTTAAGTACTATAATAGAACGATACGAAATATATTATAATAGAACGTTTTTTTACACACGAATCTTTTTATTACTATTTCTGGGATTTTGTGGCGCCATTAAACAAATTCGAACCTACATTTCAAAATAATAATCATAACTTTCGATAGAATTAATCAATTTCAATAAAACAAAGATTAAATGAACTTGATAATACGCTTTATGATTTTCTTAAGGATTTCATTGAAAAAAAAAAGATATTTACTCAAAACGTCATGCGTCCATAAACAAACAGACAGACCGTCAGATAGTACAATTCTAAAAGTTATAAAAATGTACTTATTTAATGATTTACAGTCCCCATAATGATTTTAGTCGCAAATTAATATACTATACAATATTCAGAAACAGACAACATGTTATTACCATTTTTATTATATGTATAGATTTAAGAGAGATGGCGCTGTTAACATCAATTCTAAAAATAAGAGATTAATTCAAACGATTGATACAATAAAAAACATAAAAGAACTTATAAATCAGTGCCTGCATAGTAAGCAAAAAAGAAAGTTTGATCCTCGCCGAAAAACGAAATTGTTAATAGCTCTTAAAATTTGATTTACCACATAGAGTACTCGGCGGTAAAAAAATAAAAAATAAATGAGATTGTCAACATGCAGTAGGGCAGCGTGTCATTAATATAAAGGTTAGAAGCAAATATGAAACTCAACTACAGGAATAAATTTTAACCTGCCTTTTTGTATCACATTTATGCCACACCACCATCTATCGATGAAATTGGTTAACTATTGTACTTTAGTTTAGATAATAAGGTTAATATATTTTGTATATATTTATTACGTTTTTTATGTAATACTTTTGTTTACTGCGTTTTAGATATAATTATATCATTATAGAACATTATTTTACATCATTTAATTATGATTTATAATATGATATTAATTTTAAAATGTACTTGATGACTCATCCAACGCCACTATTGAACAAATTCGTACCTATACTTAGTACCCATACTTCAGAATATTTGTCATAACTTTTGATGGAATTAATCAATTTTAATGAAATAAAGACTAAATGTAACCTGAATATACACTTAATAATTTTGTTAACTATTCTTATGATATAAATTAGTACTTTATACGTGATACGTTAACAAACAAACAGACAGACAGACAGACAGACAGAAAAATCTAAAAATGGTAGAAATGTATTTAATTACTTATTTTTAGTACCTCTCAATCACTCTTATTACAAAAATATAAAATGTACAGACATCTGCTATTTACATTTTTATTATATGTATAGATTGCCGCTCGAGTAGTATACAAGTCCTTGACTTACATAGAATTTAACAAAAAGTTCAAACAATCGTGAAGATACATTTCACTTTACAACAACACCTAACTAAACAAAGCCTCTGCAAGAAAACTGCCTTACAGTACTTAAACTGCAAAGTTTTATTAATACAAGTCAAGGTCAAACTAATAAAAACAATGTCCACACGTTAAAATAAATAACAAAATCATTTCCTTCATTAGCGTAAGACAATCTATAAGATCAAAGTAAACAAAAAAAAAACATTAGCGTAAGATATAAACTTTCAAATATGAAACAAATGGGAGGTTAGTGGAAACAGCCCAGACCATGTTTTTTTTTATTTAATTGATTGCTAATGTTTTTACTTTTTTCGTTTCGATGTTTATTGTGTTCTTGTTAGAGAGCCTATTAAAGTCAACTGCTGATGCTGAACATAGGCCTCCTCCATAGATTGCCTCATGGGGGGGGGGGGGATTATCTATAAGATCAAAGTAGACCTAAGATTTAAAAAAAAACAAAAGTAATGATGTAAATGTCTTTCACTTTAATTTATAGTTAGCTGCCACGGCAGGAGTTTAATGTTTCAGTTTCACTCCGAATTCAGTCTGGACATTTTACAGTGTAAATATCATCATCATTACAGCCCTTCACAAGTCCACTGCTGAACATAGGCCTCCCCGAAAGAATGCCACAAAGCACGGTCCTGAGCCACCTGCATCCATCGACTTCCTGCATGTCTTACCAGGTCGTCACTCCATCTCGTAGGGGGACGCCCTACACTTCGCCTACCGGTACGAGGCTGCCACTCGAGAACCTTTCTTCCTCATCGGTTGTCGGTTCTTCGAGCTATATGGCCGGCCCATTGCCACTTCAGCTTACTTATCCGTTGGGCTATGTCGGTCACTCTGGTTCTACTGCGGATATCCTCATTTTTGAGTTTATCACGCAGAGAAACTCCGAGCATAGCCCTCTCCATAGCTCGCTGAGCGACCTTGAGCTTCCTCATCCGGCCAGCAGTGAAGGACCACGTCTCAGTTCCGTAAGTCATCACTGGCAACACGCACTGGTTGTACAATTTCGTTTTAAGGTTTTGAGGTATGTCTGACGAGAAGATGTGTCGTAGCTTCCCGAACGCTGCCCAACCGAGTTGAATCCGTCGATTGACCTCTCGGTCGAAGTTGGACTTACCCAGTCGGACTATTTGTCCCAGGTAAACATACTCGTCAACAACTTCGAGCTTAGTGTTCCCAACAACTACCGGCATAGGTGTGACATGGACATTAAACATGATCTTTGCTTTGTCCATGTTCATCTTAAGACCTATCCGTTGGGAAACACTATTGAGGTCATTGAGCATAGTGCTTAGGTCCTCCAGCGGTTCTGCCATAAGGACTATATCGTCGGCAAATCGAAGGTGAGTGATGTACTCGCCATTGATGTTGATACCGTATCCTTTCCAGTCCAGAAGCTTGAAAACATCTTCCAATGCAGCGGTGAAGAGTTTCGGGGATATGACGTCACCCTGTCTTACACCTCTCTGCAATTGGATAGGTTTCGTACTCTGGTTCTGTACTCGGATAGCCATCGTAGCTCTACTGTACAAGCACTTCAACACTTCGATATACCGACAGTCAACTTGGCACCGCTGAAGTGACTGCAGCACCGCCCAAATTTCGACGGAATCAAAGGCTTTCTCATAGTCCACATACGCCAGACATAGTGGCAAATTGTACTCCTCGGACTTCTGCACAATTTGCCGAAGGGTATGTATGTGGCCTATGGTGCTAAAGCCTTTTCGGAAACCGGCTTGTTCGGGAGGCTGGAAGTCGTCAAGTCTGCGCGCGAGACGATTAGTGAATTAATAACTCGACTACAAAAACCATCTTGTACGGAATAATAGACCGAGTAGAAAAACTTTTCCGTGCCTTATGTGCTAATTGAAACTGCATTTATTCTGAAGAAGCTGATTCAAAAACCAAAAAATAAACTTTCAAATATGAAACAAATGGGAGGTTAGTGGAAACAGACCAGACCATGTTTTTTTTTTATTTAATTGATTGCTAATGTTTTTCCTTTTTTCGTTTTGATGTTTATTGTGTTCTTGTTAGAGAGCCTATTAAAGTCAACTGCTGATGCTGAACATAGGCCTCATCCATAGATTGCCTCATAGGGTGGGGGGTATTTGCCATAGTTGCCACGCTTGGCAAGCGGGTTGGCAACACGGTTTTTTTATTTTATTAGGAAGACGCTGCTGCCCAGCTTCTGATTTGTTTCTCTCTGTCGCCTCTACGACACACTCGGGATGATAAGGGCTAGTGGATATTCTTATATCTATATCTATATATTATATCTAGGCCCTCCGTCGCCTATGATGGGCAATAAACCAGAAGATGGGCAACAGCGTCTTCCTAATAACAAATAAAAATAAAAAACCGCGGTTGCCAACCCAACATGCATGGCAACTATGGCAAATATCCCCCCTATGAGTCAATCCGTGGGGGAGGCCTATGTTCAGCAGCGGACTTTTATAGACTGTAACGGTAACGATAAATGTCGAAACGAATAAATAAAAACAAACTAGTATGATTTAAATAAAATTAAAAAAAAACATGAAGTCTAGTCTGTTTCCAGTAACCACTCGGTACATATTTCAAGGTTCGATTTCACTTGGTTGCTTCTTTGGTTTTTGAATTAGCTTCTTCAGAATAAATGCAGTTTCAATTAGCACATATGGCACGGAAAGGTTTTTCTACTCGTTCTACAGTTACATAAGGAACTCATGACAAATGGATTTTTATCTAGTATACTTTTATATTAATATAAAACACGTTTACATAATATTGCACATATTTTACCAGATCTCTCACAAAAAGGGTTCTGCTCAAGTGTGTGTTTTCATATGTGTTTGCAAACTACTTTTTGTAATACATTTATATTCGCAGATATTACACGAAAAGGGCTTTTCTCCTGTATGTATTATCATATGCTTTTGCAAATACCTTTTTTCTATACATTTATATTCACAGATATTACATGAAAAAGGTTTTTCTCCAGTATGTATTTTCATATGCCTTTGCAAATCACTTTTTCTAATACATTTATATTCGCAGATATTACATGAAAAAGGTTTTTCTCCAGTATGTATTATCATATGCTTTTGCAAATACCTTTTTTCTATACATTTATATTCACAGATATTACATGAAAAAGGTTTTTCTCCAGTATGTATTTTCATATGCCTTTGCAAATCACTTTTTGTAATACATTTATATTCACAGATATTACATGAAAAAGGTTTTTCTCCAGTATGTATTATCATATGCTTTTGCAAATACCTTTTTTCTATACATTTATATTCACAGATATTACATGAAAAAGGTTTTTCTCCAGTATGTATTTTCATATGCCTTTGCAAATCACTTTTTTGAATACATTTATATTCACAGATATTACATGAAAAAGGTTTTTCTCCAGTATGTATTTTCATATGTGTTTGCAAATCACTTTTTGTAATACATTTATATTCACAGATATTACATGAAAAAGGTTTTTCTCCAGTATGTATTTTCATATGCATTTGCAATTTACTTTTTTCTATACATTTATATTCACAGATATTACATGAAAAAGGTTTTTCTCCAGTATGTATTTTCATATGCCTTTGCAAAACACTTTTTGTAAAATATTTATATTCACAGATATTACATGAAAAAGGTTTTTCTCCAGTATGTATTATCATATGCTTTTGCAAATACCTTTTTTGTATACATTTATATTCACAGATATTACATGAATAAGGTTTTTCTCCAGTATGTATTTTCATATGCCTTTGCAAATCATTTTTTGTAATACATTTATATTCACAGATATTACATGAAAAAGGTTTTTCTCCAGTATGTATTTTCATATGTGTTTGCAAATTATCTTTTCTTATACTTTTATAATCACAATTATTACAACAGTACACTTGTTCAGCGACGTGCGCGTTAAGATGTGCCAATATGCAACGTTTTTGAGATGTTTTAAATTCGCAAATATCACAATTAAATATTTCCGTTAGTTGTGGTACTGGAGTTTGTTCCACTGGTGTCCGAACTGCAGTGGTGTTCTTTTGGTTCTTTTGCGTCTTATGACTGTATGAAATGTGTTTGGCGAGAATGTCTTTTGTTGAAAATTTTTTGCTACAACCATCACATTCAAAAATGTATTTTGTTGATGCCCCTGACGTGTTGTTCGTAAGCATATTTACACTCTTTTGTTTCAATGTTTTCTTTTTCATAATCTTTGCAGGATGCTTTCCTTTTTTATTAAATGGTTGATTATCTTTTTTGACTTTAGGCTTTGATTTAATAGTAGGGCTTTCTAAATCGAGGTTTCCTTTACGAACATCGTTTATGTTATAATCAGTAGAATTTGATTTAATTTGGCTCTCAGACGCTTTCGAAAAATGATTTGTCGGTATGATGTATGGTTCTGAAATACACACGAATTGAACATTTAATTTATTATAAGTAAAACTTTTTATTGTAAGACAAATTAAACGCATTCTCTATCAGTCAAGCAGGGAGAAATAAATAAATTATAAAATTACATAATTATACAATGTTGCTAGATATAAAGTATTTTACTTTTAATAATGTCTCTCATATTCATTTTTGGAGGGAAAGAATGGTAGAGAAACTAAATTCGAATGATAATGATGATGTTCTTCTCACCATGTTACAATTACCTACCTTAATCTAATAATAGATGCTTCGAATCGCACACGGGACAAGCATTATACAGAATGATTCGAAGATTGACTTGTTGATTGAAGAAGATCATTTAGGCCATAGTTATTTTAGACAAAGTCTGACTATACTTTTTGTTTTTGGTGAGAAAACTAAAAATTTTACAGTTAATTGCTAATAATTGCCAATTTAATTAACGTCTGTTTTTTTTTAATTTAAGTAATGAATAAGAAATGTAAGAAAATATATAGTCTCAGCATCTGCGTCATCAGAAATGTTTTTGTACAGACACTAAGTTCACGAAAATTTTCTACGATTTGAAGAAAGTTAATTAACATTTTAAATAAAAAACATTTTTGACACTACGTTAAAAAAAAACTGATGGTACTTTAATTTATTGTTAGAACCTTTTTGAAAACATGCTTGGTTATTACTCTTTCATTTGAGGTATAACTTACACGCATTTGTTACAAATTTTTCAATTGTCCCCTAAAACCAGATTGAGGTAGAAAATTTAAATTTTTAGGCAGACTAATAAAAATTCTAATTATTTATTTGTTGATGCTCAAAATAATTGATGCGATTATTAACACAAGCACGGGCCCGTCGTCTCACTTCTGTTGTAGTTACTTTCAACATCATGGTTTGAAATGCTGAATTAATTCTTTGAAATTTGAAATTCCGGCCATATAGCTCGAAGAAATGACAATGAATGAGGAAGTTTTACGAGTGGCAGCCTCGTACCAGTAGTCAAAGTGTAGGGCGGCTCTTCATTAGATGGAATGATGACCTAGTAAGAAATGCAGGAAGGCGATGGATTCCTGTGCTTTGTGGCATTCCGTGGGTGAGACCTATGTTCAGCAGTGGACTTGTGAAGGCTGTAATGATGAAGATTTAATAATGCAATGCGCTCATCTTTTCATTTTAATTTTTATAGGAAAGGGTGACAAATGAGCACACAGTCCACACGATGGTAAATGGTCGCTGTGACCCATAGACATCTACATCTGTCCTCAATAAAGAATCAAAATGCAGATGCATTGTCACCCATGAGGACTACGATGGAATGCCTCTTTTCCAGTAAAAAGGGTATCCGGTTCTCTACAATCACCATACGAAACACAGCAGTGTTAAGCTGCTATTTTACGCTGGTATTCTGTGAGAGCGTGGTCTTTCCCCGGTCGAGCTGACCCATTCGTGCTATAACTATACTACTAATATAGCTGCAGCATGGCTCTACCACAACTAAAATGGAATGACCCACAGCCTGTGATTATTCTGACTCTATACCCATCAGAATGGAACACAGCAGTGCACGCACTGCTATTTGACGGCAGAAATAGGTAAGAGGAGGAGGGAGGAGTCCATCCGGGCAGGCACAAATAGATCAACTCCTAGGCAAACATGCAGTCACACCACCTAGTACTAACACTAAGAAGATGGCAAAGATAATTGGTTGCTTACCAGTATGTATCTTAGTGACATACATACTAGCTGACAGGGTAAAAATATTTTTTTAATGTATTAATAAGAGTGCTTCTGACATGCACTTTGAATTTAGACAAAGGCAAATCAGTAAATCATTACATTACACATGAAGCCCTCTTTATTTTGTGTCTACGGGCTACAGTAACCACTTGCCATAAGGTAAATTGTACCTTATTTTAATAATATCAAGAAAAGGGGTATATCTTACCTGTTTCATGATTCTCATTTTCTTCAAATTTGGAATTCTCATATTCGAAAATCTCTTCCTCAACTTTAACGGCATCAAGGCAAAAAATTTCGTCCTTGCAATCATTGTCTATATCACACTCTACAGGCCAGATATCTATATGATAAATTGGTGTGAATTTAATCTCATCTCTAACCTTATGCGGTTTTGGTATTGACTGAAAGGAAATAATTTTTTCAAATAAGAGAAAAAGCCACTATAGTGGTGGAGTAGGAGAACCCATACTACCCCTGCCATCCCGCAGATGTCGTAAAAAGGGGCAGAGGGAAACTGAAACAGGAGATCGGGGGGCAGCATCTTGCTGATAACAACTTCAAACAATAATAAACACCGGACAAAAGTGAGGGTTCAGCGTAAACTTAAATAAGAATGTACATAGTTCATCTATCCCGAGAATCGAGTCTCAACAACTTTTGGATTCAGATTCACGAAAGCTGTAAATTGACAAAGATTTATCTTTGTTTATTGAGATTTGTTTATATACAATAGGGTAATATATATGGTATTATTAGATAATTACTTATTATTTAAGTAAAAAATTAAAACAAACGTTTATTTACATTGTAAGTCTTACAACACTAACTTATACTTCAAGTACAAACAATTGAGCAAACAAATTCAATGGGAGTTTTGGCTTTGCATGGTTTTAGAAAGTTTGGATAAATTTGGCTCATAACTTGTTGTTTTAAGTTTCAAGCACGAATCTGAATTTTCATTTGTTAGTTGGCTTCTTACTTTACTTTTAATTATATTCATGCAAGAGAACGCTTGCTCCCACGAATATGTCGATCCGAAGATAGTCAGCACTCCAAATGCCAACTTCTTCACCTCACTATAGCAATCTGGAAGACTATTCCATGCGTCAAATATAACTCAACTCGCAGCCTTTCTTTTCTTTTAAAGCTGTTCATTTTTTTAGCGTTACGTACATACATTTCTGGACCTCCAACTTTTTCAACTTCCTTATTAAATCTGTAAATTTTCAACTCCACAAAGCTTTACTTTTTAAATCCATCAATTGCATTTCTAGAGATCCAGTATCAACCCCAAATGGCTCAGTATGGATCGATTTATAATTTTTTTTTTTATAAAATAAATAATATTTGCGTATGAAACTAAAGAGCCGCAGCTTCACATCCAAAGAGCCGCATGTGGCTTGCGAGCCGAATTTGACAAAATCCCTCCTATGAAGCAATCTATGAGTGAGACCTATGTTCAGCAGTAGACTTTTATAGGTTTTACTGGATGGAATGGATAATACCATGGATCCTCCTGAAAGCAACTGCTCCAGAACCGCATTTGACTCAATAGCCTGTTGTTGTAATCTTCTGCAACGAATGAGTCTTGCATGACAGGTGAAACAGACAATTATGGGCCCCTCATTCTCATCCAACTGAAAATATGAACATCTTCATAAATATGAAATAGTATTCAAATACAGTAGAACGCCGATTAACCGAATCGCCAATTATCCGAATCGGTCCTAAGCTTAATATAAGAAATTATAACCAAGTACAGTAAGTAACATTACTTAGATTACTTATACAATACTTGGTTAACTGATATTAAAAATAACAGTGAATAAATTTTAAGTTTTGTGACCGCATTGGAAAGTGGTGATGGATGTTCGTCACGAAAAGTAATAAAAAAGGCAAAAGATGAACAACTTGAGAATGCTGTTATTACGTGGTTTCTGCAGCACCGATCTATTGGACAACCGATTTCAGGATCGATTTTATGTGAAAAGGCGCGAATATTCAGTGAAAAAATGGGTGTAGCTGGTTTTACTCTTTATAAAACTTTATAAAGTGCAAAACCATTTATAAAATTAATAAAGTTTATTCTATGTGTGACAGTTCGTTTTTCTATATTACATACCAGTCTATGTCCGATTATCCGAATTTTCGATTATCCGAATCAACCCCGGGCACAATTAATTCGGATAATTGGCGTTCTACTGTATATAAGTTTGTAATAAAGATTATTGGCTACCACATTTTAATTTGTCAACATCACTTTTTATAATATTGAAGTGACAAATAAACTTACCATCTAGTAAGTGACTAATGGGCATCATGGGCACCTGCAACGAACTTCAAGCAATGGCTACAGATGCAATGTTACCTCTGAGGAGTAAGATGTAATGCATCACAGCCTGGCTCCCGATGTCCTTCAGACTGGGACACATACTGCTGCTTGGTGCCAGAAAATGATAAGAGGATGATATCTAGACAGAAAGAAACTCCTATAGTTCCAAGCCACCTACATCCATCAACTACATTACCTACATTAACTTCAAACTGCCATCATCACTAAGAACATTACAAATACTTCTCTTATCACTCTAAGTAAACTGATAATGCTTGTGGTAGGAGGATATTGAAACACAACACAGGGTGGTGGGTGGTACTACACATTCTGTGAAAGTGTAGTACTACGCGGGTCGAGCCAACCCATCCATGATACAACCATAATATAGCTGCAGCCCGGCTCTACCACATATAAAATAATGATAATAAGTCTTTCTACTCTATTCTCTCATTTTAATAGTCCTATAGAACTGTTTTAATTTGCTGAACAACCAAACCAGGGTAAATGTTAATTTCTTGATAGAAAATCACAATAATAGACATTCAAGTAATATGTACTAGAACAGACACCAGGAACAAAATCTATGCGGGTTGCATGGAAGGAATGGAAGGAGAATGTAGTACAATTAAGACCCAGATATTTGACACTTCACTAATCTACACGCTCAGCTTTGGAAAAATCTAGTAGACTGTAGACAAGCTAGGGAGGCCCTGCCTGAAATAAACAGTTGTTTAACCAAAGTTCTAATGAGACTGAACAAGCCGCAGATCAGGATAGTAACAAGTGCTAGTACAGGATAGTAACTAGTAGTAGTTACTATAGGCGTTACAGATAGTCCGCTGTGCAGGGCATGTTTGGGGGAAGAAGAAATGGCGGCCCATGTGATATTGAAATGTCCGGAGGTCGCTACGTACATGGCTAAACATCTCGGCACGCCGAGATCACTCCCCGAAGTTGCATGCAATATCAAAGGACTGTTGAGCTTCTTCGGGGAGATCTCATGACTTGAATAAGCATATTATTCCTGCCCAAACGCAAAATACGCGCATAGATGTGGAGTTGAAGAAATCAGCCCATCGTAAACTATACTAAACTAAGACCCAGATACACTAGGGGCCATTTTGTCCCGCAAGATGATGTGGAACACTCAATCTACATGACGATGCTACATTGCACAGTGACCCAGAACATTATAAGTGACATGGGACATGTAGCTTGTTCCCTTTCCGAGAGAGAGAGTGCACGTGTCCGGCGTCAGTGGCACATCATTTGTTACTGGGTGTAGTTGTGTGTACAACTTTACTTGCAACATGTCAGTTGTGTGGGGAAATTAAACCGTGCTTTTACTTCTTGAACTCTACAAGTGTCGTGTTTTGTTATGGGATATTTCTAACCACTAACTTCTGGTGCTATTCTGCCGATCAGTTGTTTCAACACTCGAAAAGTGTATGACAAAGAAGCATATAAAACTCTAGTCAACAAGTATCTTAATGCAGTGGCAAGTCTGATACCAATATGAGGGCAACAGCATTCCATAGTATAGTATCCTGTTTGGTTATGGAAGGTCCGATCATTTGTTATAACATTTCAAAATCAGATGTTGACATTTGAGTAAAATTCACAAAAGATCCGTCAGACATTCGAGATCACTTAAAATATCAATTCCTCTTCCTTCTCATTGTAGTAAGGAATTCTGAATCCACCACCTTTGCTTTCGTTTACGTTTCAATCCCGCAATAAGCACTATGTACACAGCACTAATCGCCACAACCTCTTTGGTTTTTTTTTTCTTTTTTTTTTTTTTTTCTCTGTGGCAACCCCGGTGACAAATAGTTAAAAAATTGGGCTCCCAAATAATTTCGTAAAAATAATTATTGTAATTGATCATTTCCACCTCAAATTTAAGTTATAGTTGTTAATTACGAACAAATTTTATTGTGTAATAAATAAAAGTGGTAAATATTTAAATAAATAAATTTTTAGTGCCTCTCAACTTAAAGTGACAGCAGGTAACGAACATCGTTTAAAAGTTACTGTAATTCTTGTTATCCCTTTTAATATTTACGATATATCTCTTAAGTGTTGTTGTTTTCGGATTTCATTTTGAATTGTTTTCTTGATAATTTAATTTGAGATCTGTAATTAGAGTCCTATAATTGGATATTTGCTTACTCTGTTCCCTTAATTTTCCATCTTTGTTTTCTTTTACTATTTAAAATACATAGTAAAATGAATACTCGTAACGCCAAAACGCGCCAGATGGAGAACCAACTCCATCTTGCGCTCCAAGAACTGAGGGCGTCCAGGGAGCAGTGTGAGCTGTTACTTAAAGAAAGGGATGACAACGAAAAGGAAATAATAAGTATAATTTCGAAAAATACTCAATTGAAAAGTGATATGGTTAAGTTACATAGAGACTATACAGATATTTTAAAGGAAAGGGATCAGCTCCAGAGGACAGTCAATGAGTTTGACCGATGCAGCAAAGAATATGAGGAATCCCTCAGATTAATTGCTGCATTGAAATTACAATTAACTGAAGCTAATGAGCAAATTTCAGAATTTAAACAAAACATTGATAACTTGCATGCACTTAAAACTCAGAGTCTGTTCGAGGAGCTCGTAGAATGTAAATTTCATAAAACGTTGCAACCCTCCACAACAATAGATTTGACTGATGATTCTACCACATCAAGAACAGCAGAAAGGATTACAAGCAGCAGAAGGAAATTAAAAAAATATATAAAAATTAATAAATATATTAGGAAAGTGCAAAAATTAGTTAAAACTAAAATTAATATTAAAAATTATATAAATGTATGTAAGGAAAAGCAAGAGTTAATTAGTAAAATTAAATTATATTCAATTGAGGTGGAAAACATGAAAAATTGTTATGAGACTGAAATAGAGTGTCTTAATTCAGAAATTTTATCACTTCAAACCTCATTACAAATTATGTCAAATAAATATCAATCTGCAGGGAATGAGATAAAAGAACACATACTGGCCATGGATAATCTGGTAAAGTCCTGCAAATATAACGAGGAACGTTTTGACTCCTTATTAAAATATCAAACTGAATATCAGCGCTCACTGCCAGGTTCTTCAGGGACAGTGTGTGTTAATAATATGACAAGCAGTAATACTTCATTTTCTTTACCTACACTCTATGATAGTACCATAACAAAGCAGATAAATTTAAAAAGTAATTCATATAATGAAAAAAATAATATAATTGTGTATAGTGATGACATAGGCAAAAACTTGGGTATATCATTGAATAACTGTTTAAAAAGGCAACAGATAAGTAATTACTGCATGCCTGGAGCATCATTCAGTGATATTATGAATAAAATTTTAACTAGTAAATTTAACCCTAATAGTATATTAATAATTTTTGTTGGGAGAAGAGGCAATATGAACAAGAATCAATTATTAAAATATATTGAATATCTCAATAACATAAATGTGGTTAAAGTTATCTTGTTTACATTGCCTTATATAGAGGGGTGGCCACAGGAAAATAAACTAAGACATAATTTAAATTTAATGATGCATAACTTGACATGTAACAATAACTTAAATTTGACATTTAATTGTAAGAATAATAATGATAAATTTCATTTAATTGATATTAATAATTTAACTAAGAAGTTTAGAATTTAACTAAGAAGTTTTTGACAAGAGATAGGTATTACCTATCAAAGTATAGTTTAAGACTGGTAGCAGATACGCTATCTTATTATTTATATTTTAACTCAGCCAATGATTTGGCTACCTTGACACCTGCTTCTTTTGAGCAACAAAATAATTTTACATTTGATTTGGAACCAGTTCCAAGTAATTTAAATTAGATAATAAGACAATAGAGGTAATCTCTAGCAAAGATAATTTAAATAGCTTAGAATGCAACTTACCAATACATAATTATGCAATTTTACAAAATAAAAATAATAAAAACTGTATCAACCTGGTGCATCAAAATATACAAGGTATGTTAGGCAAAGAATTAGAAATTGAATTATTTTTAAATAGTAACAGTATAAATATTTTATGTATTACAGAACATTGGTTGAAAGAATACAACTCCATATTTAATTTCAGTAATCACCAGGTGGTCAGTTCGTTCAATAGAGATACTAAATTACGTGGTGGCTCCTTAATATTAGCTAATAAGTCCTTATCATGTAAAGAACGTAAAGACATTGTGAGCCTCTCTGTTGAGCGTACTGTAGAAATGGCATGTGTTGAGCTTGAGCACCTTATTGTTGTCAGTGTTTACAGACCCCCATGTTCAAGTTATGATACTTTTGAAAAAATTATGGAAGAAGTTTTAGTTAAGCTTAATAAACAGAATAAATCTCTTGTAGTGTGTGGAGACTTTAATATCAATCTCCTGGAAACTTCTTCCATCAGTATTAAATTCTGTTCTTTGTTCAAATCCTATAATCTTAATAATTTATTCTTTGAAGCTACACGTATTGCAGGGTGTAGTGCAACTTGTATTGATAATATTTTTACAGGTGTTGTACCAATCAACAAATCAATAATTCAAAAACTTAGTTCAGATCACTGTGGACAACTGGTTTCGTTACCTTATATGCACAAAAAACAGGTAAATGAGAAAATTGTGTTTGTTCCTATTAATGCAAAACGCCTGGAGAGATTTAGAAGTAATATGTTAAAAATCCTTCCATCCCTTTCTTATAAGAACAATGCAGACTATTTATATAGAGAATTATTTACCTTTATAAACAATGAATTTAATAAAACATTCACTTCTAAAACATTCTCCAGAAACAGTCGCAAGGCATTTAATGAGTGGGCGACAGTAGGAATTTATAAAAGCAGACGAAGGTTATATGACCTTTACCATGAAAGATCGTATAATCTTTCCGATGCTTTTAAAGAATATGTAAAAAATTATTCTAAAATGTTTAAAAGAGTTTGCTCCACAGCCAAATCATTACATATTAGTAACAAAATTAAGACAGCTAAGAATAAAATTAAAATGACGTGGAGTATAATTAACAGCGAAACCGGTAATGAGAAACCTCGTAATTCAAACTATCAATTAAAAATTAATAATGAATTGACTAAATCAAATCAAGAAGTTGCAGCGGTGTTTGAGAAATATTTCACTAATGTTCCTATCTTGACAACAGAGTCATTGAATGCTTCTCCAACTGTCGCCGAATCATTACTTAAACAGAATGTTAATACCTGTTTAAAAGAATTTAGATTTGAAAAAGTATTACCGCATAATATTGTAAAATACTTCAAAACCATTGATGTAAAGAAAACCGCAGATTTGTGGGGGATTTCCGTTACAGTGATTACGTCCATAATAGATTTAATTGCACCTCATCTTGCTATTATTTTTAATACTTGTATCGATTCTGGTGTGTTTCCTGATTTAATGAAGTATAGTAAAGTAATACCTTTATTTAAATCTGGTAGTACATTGGACCCCGCTAATTATAGACCTATTTCTGTACTACCAACTCTCAGTAAAATTTTTGAAAAAATAATTTTGGATCAATTGTTAATTTTTTTTAATACAAATAAATTACTTCATAAAAATCAATTTGGTTTTACAAGGGGTCGCTCGACGTCTGACGCCGGTGTTGAGCTTATGAAATATATTTTTAATGCCTGGGAGAATTCACAAGATGCCTTAGGTATTTTCTGTGACCTTTCCAAGGCTTTCGATTGTGTTCATCATGATACATTAATCAGGAAACTACAACATTACGGTGTAAAAAATTTGGCGCTTAAACTTATTACTTCATATTTAAGTAACAGAACTCAAAAAGTCGTCATTAATGGTAAATGTTCCTCCGGATCGGTAGTATCAATGGGCGTTCCTCAGGGCTCGATTCTTGGCCCATTCCTGTTCTTAATCTATATTAATGACTTACCTTATCTTGTAGGGGACAATCACGATATAGTATTATTTGCTGACGATACCTCTTTAATTTTCAAACTGAAACGGCAGTCAATTAAATATGACGATGTAAATAATGCTCTATCGAAACTAGTACATTGGTTTAACGCCAACAATTTGCTCTTAAACGGCAATAAGACAAAATGTATTAAATTTACAATACCTAATGTAAAACATTCGAAAACCAATGTGCTCTTAAATGGGGAGGAGTTGAGTCTTGTGGATACCACTGTTTTTCTCGGTATTACTATTGACGCGAAACTTCAATGGGGCCCCCATATATCTAAATTAGCAAGCAGACTTAGTTCTGCAGCATATGCTGTAAGAAAGATTAGAAGTCTCACAGATGTTGAGACAGCTAGGTTAGTGTATTTTAGTTACTTTCATAGCGTAATGTCTTATGGAATTTTGCTATGGGGTAATGCGACTGATATTGAAGCTATATTTGTTTTGCAAAAGAGAGCCGTACGGGCGATTTATAATCTAAATTGTAAAGAGTCCCTTAGAGAAAAATTTAAAGAAATAAACATATTAACTTTGGCATCGCAATATATTTATGAAAATGTAATGTATGTACATAAAAACATAAATAGCTTTAATAAGAATAAGGATGTTCATACCTTAAACACTAGGAACAAACATAAGCTTGTAATGCCACTTACAAGACTCCACAGAATTAGTAATTCATTTATGGGGCAATGTATACGCTTTTACAACAGAATCCCAGAACATGTTCCAAAGTTTGTCAATAAACAAGTTTAAAAGTTTTATTAAAGAAAAACTGTACAAAAAGGGTTATTATAATATCAAGGAATACATGAGTGAAAATAACCCCTGGGAATAAGGTGATCGCCACCATGCTGGTTCTATGAAAATTCATTTAAAATTGTATAATCAAAATTATTGTTAAGTGAAATTATGTTTAAAAAAAAAAGTCCCGCTGGGTTTCTTGCTGGTTCTTCCCAGGACAGAGGTATTTTCCGAACCAGTGGTAAATAAAATAATGACTTTCAATAAGTATTATGTAATAATCCATATTGAATAAAAATCATTCTATTCTATTCTATTCTATTTGGGAGACATTTCTATAAGCACTGACTACTGACTAGTGTGGCCTGCAAAAAGTTCCGCGACATGTCTCGGGATATTCCATGTATTCGTTGAGAGACATGTTGCACAACATGCCGCTCCTTCCGTACCCAAGTATATCCTACTAGGCTTTACTTAAATGATAATACTGATTTTAGTGCGACCCAGGATACCAGGCTAATTGTTATTTTTCAGGTTCTGGTTGTATTTGTTACTAAATTTAACGCTACACCTTATCGTACATATATCGGGCATCATAATGTATTTCTCCAGTGATAACAACAAATTATCGCAACTTCATTTAACAATAAATAAATATTAAAAAACTTACAAAACTGTTCGTCAATGTCCTATACAAATTTTGGAGACCAGTCTCCTTTAGTACAACCATGCGTACATTAACGCTTAAACAAATTCTACAAACTTCACCTTCACTAAAAGCCATTGCTGTTTTCTATAGCTTTATTAAAAATTAAAATTGATTATTGTATCAACGCGTAGTGTTTCTATATAGTTTGTGTTATTGAATTCTCTTTTTCATCAACAAACCGGACTTTTCACTTGTTGTAGGGATGTTCGATGATTATCGTATCGTAGCTTGCTACATATTTATTTATCTATGGCTGTTTTCTATAGCTTTATTAAAATTGATTATTAATTCTCTTTTTCATCAACAAACCGGACTTTTCTCTTGTTATTTTTTTGCTGCTGTACATGAAGGAATCAAGTGAGCCAACTAGACATGGGCAATGTGTATCACTTAAACGAGAAGATTGATATGTATCTTTTGATCACTTGGATATGTATCACTCTTTTATATCTTTATATCCTTATGTATCAGTAGATCAAGCTCGCTTTCACGACACGCATCGCATTACATTGCGTTGCTCACTCAGCGTAGCTCGATTCGCTCAAGTGGAGCTCCTATCAGTAAGAGTGATAGATAAGTAACTATAGAGCTGTTTGCATTTTTCTTGGTCGTAACATTGTGTATCTTTCTGATATATTTGGCTGCTGTTTCTTTCTAGGTATCTATTTGTTATGATGAAAAAATTAAAGTTTTCTTATTTCTCAGACATGCAGGTTTCCTCACGATGTTTTCCTTCATCGCCGAGCAAGTGGTAAATCAGCACTTAAAATTTTAATTAACAATTTCATTGGTATCGGCGGGGATCGAACCCGGGTTGCTCACGTACTGTGAAACTTACAGCGAGCGCTATTATTGTTATGATTGATAAATATTAATAGGCATTCTAGAAATTAACTTAAATTTTTAGTTTAAAATAATTATTAAATTAATGATTAACGTAAATAACGTAGGTAGGGTAGGTATTGTTTGTATTAATTTGTAGAAAATATATATTATACGGTTTCGGTTCCTTGAAAACATGCCTGCTGCGTTGGCTGTCTTTTAGCTACGAGGGGTAGGGTAGGTGTTGTTTGTATTAATTTGTAGAAAATATATATATTATATAGTTTCGGCTTCTTGAAAACATGCCTGCTGCGTTGGCTGTCTTTTAGCTACGAGGCGTACTGTGGGGTGTTTACTTTTTAAATGTCTACCTAGGTTACCACAATTTCCAGCGGGTATATTTAGCATGTTCGCACAATAAAGGCATTTTGCTTTTTTTGGTTCTACTTCCTCATAATGATTCCACACTGCGCTTCGTTTTCGTGAACTCATTTTTTTTTATTAATAAAACACTAACTGCGCAAAATTATTTACACTTAAAATAAATGACGTACAGACCAAAAAACACTTTAAACTATTTACACTGAATGTCTTATTTACCTACATTTAAATTAAACAGTCACTAAGTGTACTAAAAAACTACTTCAAATATTTTTCTATTCGATGCAATTAACGGAAACAATATTACACCTCAGTTTGGGAACGAGAGTAATATTGTTTCCGTAAACCTTAAGATTGAACTAATGAAGCAAACTGATATCTTTGTTTAATTTTGTAAATCACAAATCTTTTTTCTACTTTTTTATGGATATAAACGACTACTAATTTCGGTTAAAAACCTTTCTTAAAAACGATGATTTTATAACTGAAATTAGTTTGCATTGTTTACTAAAAAATTTATAGGCAAAGTACAAATAGGTACAGTTCAAACCAGTATAATCTTCAATCAACAATACCAACAAAAAAAAATTTGTCTCAGTTCTTTAGTAAACAAATGTAGCTGTATAAGTATATATTCACGCGGACAGCATTTAGCTATGATTTTGTACGTGACCCGTTATCTAGTTGGTATTGTTGATCGAAGAGTATAATACTTAAATGTTAACGTATCGCTTAATGACTTTAAGCCCTATGCACCAGTCATAGAGTTATAAATTTACCTTTTTGTGCCAACGTATTACAGTTTATAATGGTCAAACAACTCACTCTCTCCGTCTTGCTAAAGCGCGACAGAACATTCTAAATAGTGGAGCTGCAAATGAAACGTCTGTACTATGGACTTTCCGAAATTTTCCTGGAATGACCGGCCGTGCCAGGCGAGGTATAATAGAAAGCATTGTGCGCAATGTGCGACACAGATGTTAGAAAAAGTTAAAAGATGCCTTGAGTGAATAATTTGTAAAGATACACTGATACAGTGATACATTCGGATGCGAATGGATATAAAGAGTGATTGATGAAAATGGATTGATTCATATCTTTTGTATCTATCTCTCCTGAGTTACCCATCTCTAGAGCCAACATAAAAGTAAGAGCGCTATTTGTTCGTTGTGTGCGCGCTTTGTGTTTCATATAGTATTTAGTTACAGTCAAAACAATTTGTTATTTAGAGATTTAAAGTTAAAAATTTAAAGTTACATATGTAATTTAATTTCATTTATAATTTTGATTAATAATGATCATTATAGCTACTAGTGGTTAAGTTGTAAGATACATCATACTTTAAATTAACGCCAAACACTTAACTTAGAATAAATATTTAGAATTTGAAAAAGTTTGAACTTATTGAAGAATATTTTAACTGTGATAATTAAACTATTAATAGGTTATGTACTTACATCTTAAAGCTAGACTAATATTATTTCGTGAAGGCTGCTATATAAGTTGTTTTGTTGTTAAATACAGGTACTTTAACAAATATTAAAACCAAAAATACATAAGTACCTATGTGATACATACTAAATATGCATTTTCATTTCAATCCTACACAATAAGTTTGGTAATTATGGTTATCCCAACACACCAAAGAGCTACAAAGAAAAAAATATTTATAATAAAATAATTTCTAACAAATCCTTTACTCTGTTTCATACTGCTAACTCGAGTTAACTCGAGTTGTAATTTTTTCAAATTGGCACATCTATACGATATATCGTCGATATTTTAAATCGCGATATATGGATCTTTATTTTCGAGTATCGAATTCGTATCCATTTCGATATATTTTAAAATGTTGTATTAATGACAAAACATGTAACAACAAAAGGAGGTACATATGAATTCATATGTGGTTGGTTGCCGTTTCCTTTTTCGTCGTCAAACCGTCAATAATATAAAATTATGGACCTTATCTTTACATCATGCATATCGATATCACGCGATATATATCGACACTGTTTAAAATTATCGATGCGATTTTTTTCCTTATCTATCCATTAGCCCAGCGCCCACATTTTTTTAATAACTGGCTTTACGGCTCTGGGTTCTAGCCCTTCTGATCCTGAAGTGGCAATATATAATTATCCTTCATAGTACACTGCTTCGCAATCTGTTGATGCGTCACATTGTGCAGCCATTGGGAGATTTTAATGGCAACTTGAGCCAGCAGACATCTGACAGTTGGCGATGGCATCTCAAGGCGCCTAAGCAGACAGACACCTTATTTTAAGAATCACATCACCATCAGAGCAGTTGTTTCACCGTTTACTACCGTCTACTAATAGTTCACATGCGCAGACACTTAATACACAAAATCGCACCACTTTTACATATCAAAATCCATTTGAAACCATTATTTAAACAATAATACAGTAGCAGCAAACTGCTGCCGGTCAAGTTCCCGCCAAAACTCAAGCGCCCACAAACTAGTAGAATCTACCAGAATCAGACCATTGATATAGTATTAAACTCGTAGACAGAGAAATATAGATAGACAAGACCTCAGCGTATGTCAGTAAGAGATAGCGATAGTTGGCCAATTATCATTACTACAATTACATGTAATTTAAATTGACATTCTTAGACATTTACCACCATTGTGTGGGTAATCTAGTTCTTTTTATTTCGGTTGTTCTACGTCAAATACTAATTTAATTAATTTTATTTTCTATGGGGACGTATTTATGACTATTTGACTGTGCGCGAACTGAATGACTCCGGGATGAACATTAAGCGCGAAGAGAAATGAGTTGTAGTGATTATTTTATTACAATTTATCTAAGATATCCTCTCAGAAGCCAATTTACATAATTTAGGACCGGGTTTAGTAAGCTCGTGGGGCTTTTGAGTGTTTATTCTATATTTATAGCTCAACACGTAAATAGTACAATTAAATAAATCATAATCAACTCATAGCACTGAATGCATTCAGTTCGCGCAAATCGTCCCTTAGCTAACAACACCGCATAAGTCATTTTTACCAACTTTACAGGAGACGAAAAAAAAAACTGTCCATTTTAAAAAATCGGCGGGAATTTTCTGTTGTTACTTAATAAATGCCCTAGTTAGCGGTTAAGGAATAATTTTTTATAATTATTTTGACTATATTATACTTTATTTTAACTTTTATTTTATGACTTGAGCTGTGTTGACTGATATTTTATTAGATTTAGATGGAGTTGTTTGCGGAAATGTTAGGGAATAAGGTATTAATAAATGATTTACAACGAAAAGTTTTTATTACGAAATATTTCAATAATAATTAACAATCGTTATAAAATAGGTATCTATAACATAAGTCTTGCGAATCACACGACCTTTTAGAGCGTATGTGCAATTTTTTATTGTTATTTTAATTGGTAAATATTTAAAACATAGTCTTTAAAATTCTAACGAAACAAGATATAATAGTAACAAAATAATAAAAGTTAAAAGATACACTCGAAATCTCTAGTCTAATAGTTAGTTGCAGTCATTAGCGATTGCTGTGCGGAAGGTCATCATAAAAAGAGTGGCAACTAGTTGGTAATACACTTTTTAGATCTTGCAATCTTCACACTTCCGCTTTGTAATTGATATTCTAGCTGCATACAATTTCTGCAGGTGATTTATTTGTTTAATGCTGTTAATTGGCGTGAGACGACCGTATAGATTTATAAATTAATAACCAGGCCGTATAGATTTATAAATTAATTCTTTCGAAAAGTCGATAAAAAGGTATAGTCCAAATAACGAGCTTCATTAGGCATAGGATCCCTCCTAGCTGTTTTAGTTATAGCCATGTGTTGTTGTGGAAGGTAAATTTCTTTACCTTTTAATTTACACTCTATGGCACTCTGTACGGAATCTAATTTTATGTGGGAATGGCCTTTTTCCAGGTACTTTTGAGTAACCACAATATTTTTTTCAAACGCTAAA